AATAATATAATTTTTATTTAATTTTTTTTTTTTTTTTAAGGTAGGAAAAATAATATTGGCTGTGAAAAAAAAGATGTTTTAGAGCGCATGAATTATTTATATCAGGTAATAATTATAATTAATAAAATAATTTTAAGATTTTATAGCAACATTTAAAAAATTTGACACTGAGTTATTTTTTATAGTCCAAGTTCCTGATCATTTTCATTATTGTTTATAAATCATGGATGATAATCGTAGTCATAATTTAAGATTTTATCTTCATAATATTTAATAATAATAAAAGTGACATCTGACTTATCAAATTTTTTTTCTAACAAATTATAATAGAAAAATAAGAGTAATTTTTAAAAAAATATTTCTTAGTTGTCATTCAATAAAAAAAAATTTTTTAAAAACTTGACATGTCAAAATTTTGACAAAGCATTTTTATGAAGTGTTGAAAAAAATACTTTGAAATTTATTAGATGATATTAAAGTTAGCAGTCACTTGAACATTATTTAATTTTTTAATTTTAATTTTATTCACATTAGTTAATTAAATTAGAAGAAGAATATATATATATATATATTTTAAAAAAAAACAATCAATGCTCAAAATTATTTTTTTTCAGGCAAGTAAACTTGTTTCCAAACATGACACTATCACAGCGTCATGTTTCGGCAATGCAATGATAAGTTGTTCGAGAAAAGCCGTCCTAAGAATGTAATTATATTTTCTTTAATTAAATTTCTTCTACCATCAATCATTACTTTACCGTCAAGTTTTATTTTCAATTAATCTGTCTTGGTTACAATTACTCTTAATCAAAAATTTTTTAGATAAATTTTTCTTCCTGTACTTTCTTAATTATTGTCGTTTTTGAAGAAATAAGCTCATCCCGATGTTACACTCATCAAGAGCTTTCATTTGAGTACCCACATGCATTTTTGATATATTTTTCATATATATAGTATTTGTGAAATATATAAATATATAAAATATATGAAATATTGATGTGGGTACTCAAATGAAAGGTCTCGATAAATGCAATGCCGGGGTGAGCTTATATCTTTAAAAATGTCAATAGTTCATAAGATACAAGGTAATTTCTTAATTATTGACAATTTTAATGATATAAGCTCATTTCGGTGTTACACTCATCGAGAGTTTTCATTTGAGTACTCACATGCATTTTTTATATATTTTTCGTATATACATATATATAATATACATAAATATATAAAATATATGAAAAATTGATGTGGGTACTCAAATGAAAGGTCTCAATGAGTGTAACATCGAGATGAGCTTATATCTTTAAAAATGTCAATAGTTCACAAGATACAAGGTCATTTCTTAATTATGTATCTAGAGAAAATCATATGAAATCTTGAAAAGGCACAAATTCAAATCAAGACACTAAATTTCACTAAAAAAAACTGATTTTATCTAATGACTATCCTTGACACAAAATTTTTCTTAGTCTCTTAATAATATAGATTATTAATAAATAATGATGAGCATAATTATATTTCAGAGAAACGGATTTAAAAAGATCAATATGTAAATGTTGTCAGTCTCCGTTGATCCCCGGAGAGACATCTCGCGTGAGATTAATAACAAAGCCAATAAAAGCCGTAAAAACAACATGTCTAATTTGCAAAACTAGTAAAAAAATTCCTACTAAGCCCGGCTACAAATTATGGACCGAAAATCCCGATTCTATTAATCAAATATTTAATTATACTCCAAAAATAAAACAAAGTCACTCTTTACCTGCTGAAGTACCACAAAATGGCGGACAAAACAAAATGGCCGCCTCTAATATTGAAATTAATATTGCAAATCCAAAAATAGAACAAAGTGACTCTTTACCTGAAGCAGAACCACAAAATGGCGGACAAAACAAAATGGCCGCTGGTGAAATTAATATTGTAAATAATGAAGACTAATTTGATTATGAATATTGTAGTGTTTTTATATTTATATATGTATAATAATTGTTTACATAAAATATTTTACAATTAATGAATAATTAAAAAATTAACATTATTTTTAATACTTTTTTTTTATAATAAAATTTTATCTAACAACCAATCAGGCTTTATTTTTTTTATAATTTATAATAAATTAACTGAGATAAATATCTAACAAATTGTCTAATAAATGTAATTAATTAATTAATTAATTAAATAATTATTCGATTATATTTTACTACTTAATTTTGATAATTTTGTTTGGCCTTTTTACTATTTAATTAAATTAATATTTTGTTAATATTAATTAACTCCGGGTTGTTTGATATTCATTATGATATGACTATCAGTCCGCCCTATGCCCTAGTTCTTATTTCTTCTTTATATTAATAATAATAATTAATTGGCAAATAATATTAACAACGCCTAACCTAAGTTATTAATTGTTATTAAGTATAATAATAATAATAATAATAATTATTGATACAAAAAATTACTTCAAAAGAAGAAATCATCGCGATATTAATTTCACCGGTGAAATTAATATAATTAAAAATAGCTGTAAGTCGGGTTGTAATTGATCAATTTTAATGAGCGAGGGCTTATATGAAAGCTGTAACCTTCTATTATTTAACTGAAATAAAAATTTTTTTAAAAAAAATTTTATTAAGGAGGTTCGAGCGTAAGTTATGAGTCAAAATATTTTTTTTTACTTTAGCCTTTTAAAATAATTTAAAATAAATTAATTATAGTATTATTATTATTAATAAATTAATAAAAAAATTTTAAATAATTTGAACAATTTAATAATAATAATTATTTATACAAAAAATTACTTGAAAAGAAGAAATAATCCCGAAATTAATTACACCGGTGAAATTAATATAATTAAAAATAGCTGTAACTCGGCTTGTAATTGATCAATTTTAATAAACGCGGGCTTATATGAAAGCTCTAACCTTTTATTATTTAAATAAAATAAAAATTTTTTATAAAAAAATTTTTTTTGCAAAAAAACTTTTTTTTGCAAAAATAATTTTTGAGCAAAAGAAGAAATAATAATAAAATCTTATAATTAAAACTTAAAATAAATAATCGGCAGTGATGATTAATTTACATTCTTAAAAATATAAAACTTAATTATTAATTAATTCCGGGCCGGACGGATCATCTAATACAGTCGTTTCTTATTATATTACAATTATGGAGTTCGTACAAACAAAAAGTCATTAATTAGACCGTTTTACACATGTAACATGCACACATTAATATTAATTAATTAATTATTATATTAATAATTATTTAGTATATTAATAAAAATTAATACAAGTCTACGATAATTTGATTTAGCAAATTACGGATTAACGTCTATTAATTTAATAATTAAATCAATAATCACATTTGTTAAATTAATATATTAATTATAATTATAAATAAATTGTGTCGCATCCAATTATTGTCGTAGTCATTATAATGCGTATATTTCTTTTTTTTTGTAATTAATTATATATTTAATAATCGTTCTTATCTTTTTTTCTTAGATTAATATTAATTATTATTATTATTATTGTTATTAATAATAATAATTACTTGATCGAGTATATGCAGTATTATTTTTACCGAATATTAATAGAGAGTTAATTGTACAAAAAATGGATTACGTACAAAGATGATGAGTTGTGAAGGCTGCGGCAAAATGGACGCTACTTAGTGACACAAAATGGCGGATAGAGTCTACTTTACCGCAGCCGGTATGGAAAATGAAGTGGAATGTAAATATACTCTATTAACCTTCTTAATGACTGATGATTCATGCATATTAGTGTTCTATACCGTTAATTAATATTATTTAATTCGTTAAAAAATTAAAACACCGTTTTAAATTAATCCTGACACAAATTGTGGCTGACCATCACGGTCCAGGGTCAGTTGAGGCACCACCGTGGCCGATGGCTGGAATGTCGAGCCTTGGAAACCCATCGCCGATTCGTACAACTAGAAGAGAGAGATTAGAATTAGTATATTAAATGGCATAAAATTTTTTTTTGCTTTTCTTGTTAAAGTGTAATGTATTTTCTTAACTATTGACATTATTACAAAAATAAGCTCATCTTGATGTTACAATCATCAAGAGCTTTCATTTGAGTACCCACATGCATTTTTGATATATTTTTCATATTTATATATATGTAATATATATAAATATATAAAATATGTGAAAAATTGATGTGGGTACTCGAATGAAAGGTCTTGATGAGTGTAACATCAAAATCAGCTTATATCTTTAAAAATGTCAATAGTTCACAAGATACAAGGTCATTTCTTAATTATTGACATTTTTTAAGATATAAGCTCATTCTGATGTTACACTGATCAAGAGCTTTCATTTGAGTACCCACTTGCATTTTTGATATATTTTTCATATTTATATATATGTAATATATAAAATATATGAAAAATTGATGTGGGTACTCAAATGAAAGGTCTTGATGAGTGTAACATCGGGATGAGTTTATATCTTTAAAAATGTCAATATTTCACAAGATAAAAGGTATTGTAGCTATAGAACTAGATCATTTTCAAATGCAAACTTACGTTATGATTGCCAGGCAGTGTCGTATAATCAGGTGTACTAGACCGATGCCTATTACAACCTTGAAGTGGGTGCTGGATAGTTGCGTAAGTATTATCCTGTGATGTATCGCCAATCCCGACACTTAAGCCGCCATTACTGCCGCGTCTTTCATTGGTGGTCGTTAAGCCGCCTTCTGGTTCACTGAATACTTGCATCGTTAGTTCTTGTTCTTCATAGAGTTTTAATTTCCTACGGAACAAATTCAATCAATTTAATGAGACCAACATAACCTAACCTTTGTGTAAAAAGCAAAAGTCCTGGATAGAAAATAGAACTCAAAATAATTGACAATAATATTTCTTCTTAAGAGAAGAAATTAAAAAATATTTCGAAGTATTGAAAAGAATTTAAATTTGGTTATTAAAGAATTTTATTTTTTTAATAATATAGCTTACTGTTCGATCCACAACGGATTCTCCGTGGTGTTAAGCTCATCAATGATCTGCTTCTTGATCAACCCGTCTTTCTTACGGATGTCATTTGGCACAGTGATGACCCAATGTCTGAGACAACAGCAAACTACAGTTACCGTTACAGCGCCTACTAGCAGCACCACTAGCAGCGCGATCAGCGCTGCTAATGCCGGGTCGAAAGACTCCTCCTGTACCGCCCCGTAAGCCGGCTTAAACATCATAATTATAATCATTATCATCAGAAGCCATATCAAAAAAATCTATATCTTATTTGCCTTTGATCATGATTCAAAATTATTTTTTTTTTACCCTCTTGTAAAATTTTCATCAAAAGCGCTTTCATCTACAAGCCAATTAGAAAATTAATGAAACCGCAATAAATATGAAGAGCGTAGATAGAATGAAAAAATATTGTGATTTATTAATCCTGTGATATTTCGACAAAAACGTAAAACCCATATTTTTGTGTCAGATTGCAGGATTGCAATCATTTTGATGGATTAAACTCAGACCACTCGTCAGGTATTTGGAAGACTTCTGTCAATATTGTTGCTCATTATATAATTTATGTATCTAATTTTTTTTTTTCAAGATTAGCCTATAGGATTCCACCAAAAATAAATTAAGATAATTACATACAGTTTTATACAATTATATATAGTCATATATAATCATATATACTGCCATAGGCCAGAAAATAAAAATAACTGGGTACATCGAGGGCTCGAACCGCGAACTTTGCGCTTGTCAGTCTTCCAAGCCACCCAGTTGTCCAAGATCTTTAATTGATATTATATACTTAAATGACACTCAAGTATACCCTATCAAAAACATCCATGTAGGTTTGTATGGGGATCCATGAGAATCCACATGAGAAAGTTAAGATTCATATAGGAGATATGGAATCCATAAGATTCAATGTAGGAATCTATGGATTTATATAAGAATTCATAAAGGAAGGGGAATTCATGTTCCCAGTGTTCCTATGTGGATTTCCCATGAGATTATCCATGTACCCATGCCTTCCTATGTGGATTTCCATATGAGAATCCATGTACCTAGTTACTGTATGGATTTCATTATAAATCCATGCATTCCTACATTGAATCTTATGATATTAATTACTATAACCTAAAACTTACCACAACATTCTCAATAGCGAACCCACTGTAGTATTCCTTAAGAACATCATACTTAGCATCGATAGCCTTGAGAACCTGGGGAACCAGAGTGATAGTCTGAGTCTTGGGATCAACAACATGAAGATACATGTCACACCACTCATGACGAATGTGCCCCGAAGAGTCCACATGGTACCTGATTTCGTCAACGACGACTCTGCTCTGAGTAGCATTGGACAATTCAGCGACTATTTCGTCCCTCTGGCGATTGACTTCCTGAGGCGGCCTGGATAGGATCACCCTGATCAGCTGGGAGGGTTCAAACACCCAGACCTGCATAAATAAGCAACCACATTGATCAAAATCCTAAATGATGATATCACCCAGAAGAAAAATCACCTAAAAAGAAACTTACGTGAACTCTAGCCATGGCGTAGTGCTCCGGACTAGCAGCTTCCTTGGCGATGACTTCAACGATGAAGCGATCCTGGTTGTACTCTGCCATATAGCCACTGGTGACGAGCTTGCCATCTTGACTGACATTGAAGGGACTTGGAACAATCGACCCGGAAGGTTTGTCCGACCCGTACTTGTAGAGATTAGCACTAGCGACGTAGTAGTGAAGTGTTCCGTTGTCACCCAGGTCCCGGTCAGTAGCAGTAAGCTTTGCCACCATGTCGTTGACGTTCGCCATAGAGTTGATGCCAGCGTAGTAGTCAGACCTTTCGAATTCCGGAGGATTGTCGTTCTCATCCAGAATGTTGATGGTGACGTTAACGTGACCGTAATCATTGGTGAACTTGCTGGAGTCACCAATGTAGATGTCCGGGTCGTTGGCTGCTAGGATCGTCAGCATGTACTTGTCTCTAAGCTCGCGGTCGAAGGATTTGTTGGTATAGATAGTTCCGTCAGACTTGTCAATGTAGAAAGACCGGTCTTCGTTTCCTGCTTCGATGTAATAGTAAACTCTAGCGTGTCTTCCTTCGTCCTTGTCTTCAGCAGTGACTTGACCAACAATGTAGTCCTTGGGTCGGTTTTCAGGAACCTGGAAGTGGTAGTCGTCGTAAAACTGGGGCACGTTGTCATTGGTATCCACCAAGAGGATAGTGAGCAGCCTTAAAGTCTCATAAAAGGTAGGACTGCCATGATCAGCAGCGACTAGGACAAGCTCAAACTTGTTCTTGACCTCTCGGTCCAGGATTATCTTAGCGCGAAGTTCCCCGGTCTCAGGATCGATGGAGAACTCTTCGTTCTCCTGGACGTTACGGTTTCCAACCTTCAGATGGTAGCTGATGCGTCCGTTTTCTCCTGGGTCGTTGTCAACCGCTCGGACGGTCATCACCAAGTAATTGGGAACTCCAGCGTTCTCTGGAACCTCGACAGTAGCGTTGGGAAGCTCGGGCATGATGAATTCCGGCTTGTGCTGGTTGACGGGAATCACCCGGATGTCAACGAAGGCACGGTCGGAATGAGGACCATGTCCAGCGCCATCTCTGGCTTCTACTTCAATTCGGTAGCTCCCAGCTCGACCTACCAGCATCACTGCAGGATATAGGAACCCGGTTTCTGGGTTCAGGCTGAAGGATCCGTTTTCGTTCCCACTGACGATCTTGTACCATACATCGCCGTTGAGTCCTTCATCGGGGTCTTCAGCGTGGACTTGAAGAATCGTCGCTGGAGGATTGACCGGAAGATTCTCGGCGACAGAAGCTCGGTAACTGTGTTGGGTGAAGATTGGCTTGTTGTCGTTGACGTCTTCCAGGCCGATCACCACTTGGGTGGTTGTGGATCTGCGAGAATTAAGAGGAGCTCCATCGCTTGCCATCACGGTGATCGTCATCTCTGAAGTTTCTTCACGGTCCAGCACAGTGGCGCTTCCTACTGTGATTTCGCCCGTGTCATGCCCGATGTTGAAATCAGAAGCGTGTTCTCCAATGAGACTGTAGCTTACCTTTCCGAAAACTCCCTCGTCAGCGTCCACAGCCTTGACAACAGTAACATGTGTCCCTGGAGGAGAATTTTCCTTAACGGAAACTTGGTACGACTCCTTTTCAAACTTAGGATCCTGGTCGTTGACGTTGATCACGTTGACGGTGACTTTGGCAGTTGATGAAAGCTGCGGAAATCCCGAATCGTAAGCTACAACATTGAAGTCCAGGGTCTTGGTCTCTTCGTAATCAATAACTTGGCTAGTTCTGACGATGCCGGTGACATTGTCGATGTTAAAGTACGAACTGGGAGGCTCAATAGCGTAACCTGCGATGTTACTATCAGCATCCGTAGCAGTAAACGCTCCTACAATTGCACCAGTTGGCTGTTCTTCTTGCATTTCAATTATATACTTAGGATTATCTCTTGTCCAGGGCTTTAGGAATTCCGGAGCTTCGTGGTTCACATCAATGATCGTCACTACTAAAGTTCCAATTCCTTGCTGAAGCACTTTAGCACTAGTATCAGTCACTACAACATTAAGACTTACAGTCGCTGCTACTTCACGATCTAGCGGACGAACCACAGAAACTTGCCCGGTCTTGGGATCCACTGCAAAGAAGTCTTTGAACGCAGTTGAGTTAGTTACCAACTGGCCGTTCTTATCAATGGCTGTGATTGGTTCTGAAATCGAGTACCTCAAAGCGTCTGCTGTAGAACTGTCAGGGTCCTTAGCCTTAAGACTAGTAAAAACAGTCCCTACTGGCGAATCCTCGGTAACTTCTGCCCTCTGAGTGGTAGGTTCGAAATTAGGAGGCTTGTTGTTGTTGTTCTCCACCTTTATCATCAACGTCGCCGTTCCAGTCAAACTGGGAATCCCTCCATCCAAGGCGATCACTTCAATATGATAAGCATTTCGCGTGTCGTAGTCCAGCTTTCCCGACACCGTAACCAATCCCGTTGTTTCATTGATGACGAAGTCATCAAAAGCTCCCTTCTGGATCCTGTACTTCAACTCAGCGTTGACACCACTGTCAGCGTCAGTAGCAGTAAGTTCCTCCACTGCAGTTCCTAGCGGAGAAATCTCCGGAACACTAGCGGTATAAACGTCCTGGGAAAAAGCTGGAGCGTTGTTATTGACGTCACGGACTGACACGTTGACTACTGCAGTGTCTGAGTACGTTCCGTCGGTAGCTTCTACGGTCAGGGCAATCCAATCCTGGCTGGAGTTCGTCAAATCAACTGGACCGTTGTCAGAGATTGTAATCTCACCGCTATTGGGGTCTATGTTGAAGTATCCCAATTCGTTTCCTTCAGCGATGGAGTAGGTGATCTTCGAAGTCTTGTCCTTGTCACGCGCTTGGACCTTCAGCTCCGGATCAAACTTACTTGACCCTTCATCAACCACTGCTCTGTACCTCTCTTGCAGAAAGTGTGGTGGGCTGTCATTGGAGTCAGCCAAGAGGACTCGCAGCGAAACTGTCGTAGTCTGACCATGACCATCATCATCAGTGGCTTTGTAGTTCAAGAAATACTCATTCTGCTCCTCGTAATCAAGACAAGGACTCGTACCGGGAGTTGGACAGGCTGCTACGCTGATAGTTCCGTTTCGTTTGTCAACATTGAAGTGTTCGGAACCTTGGCCCAGCAATTGGTACACAATCCCCGCGGTTCCAAACCTTCCACTATCACGATCGTTAGCTCTGATCGTCGCGATATTAGATCCAGGTGCTGCGGTTTCTGATACAGTCGCCGTGTAAGTCGCGGAATTGAACGACGGAGCGTTGTCATTCATGTCCTTGATGGTTACCGTCACCGTAGCAGTAGACGAAAACTTGGCAGCCGTTTTGTCCTCACTAGCGATAACCAGGAGGATGAATTTCCGCTGGTTTGGGTTCTCGTAATCTAGAGAAGCATTTGAAACCCTAATTGTCACGGAAGTACTGCCTGTCGCGTGTTGTGGCTCGATCATAAACGCACCGGAAATGTCTTCTAGCCTCAAACTAAACTCAGCCCCTAGATCCTGCAAGATTGACAATGCGAAATGATGAAAACTGAAGCGCTGAAAGTATGAATAGCTAACTTACCAAATCGGGATCCTTGACAGTCATATCGAGGTGCGGAAGCGGCATTCCATTTGGCACATTCTCAGGAATCTCGACACTATACTCGCGTCTGTTGAATGTCGGAGGCTCGTCATTCACGTCTTTTATCGTAACTGTTGCATCAGCAGTCGATACTGTCGTTTTGTCGTCTTCCGGAACCCCATCTACCAGCTCCCTAGCTTTGATTTTGAGGTTCAACACACCCGTGGAATTTTCCAACGCTTCGCGATCGAGAGGTTTGGCAGTACGAAGCTCCCCGCTGATTGGATCCAGCAGGAAGTAATCGAAGGGATCTAAAAGCATTTATCAGTAATCCCAACCCTAAAGAAACTTGATCAAAGGATTATCAATCAACTTACTGGCCACTAATTCGTAGACGATTTTCCTGGGGATTCCTCGGTCTCCGTCCCTTGCCTTAACCGTCATAACAAGCGTCCCGATCGACGCATTCTCATAGACAATCCCAGTTAACGAATTCAAAAACTCCGGGGGACTATTTTGAATGTCCGTAACCTTAATTTCGACTCCCGTTGTTTCGTTGTTCTTACCATCCTAATGAACCAGCATTCGTTAATTAAAATAAATTAATAACAAAGCACGTTTAAATTAGTGTTAAGATAACTCAAGTGTGCGTTACGGTAGGGAATGAACGTGCTAAATTCTAGTTTAATTAAAATTCGTGTGGTGTAGATGTAAAACGGAAAATACTCACACTTGCGCGTAACAATAATTGATAGAAGGGTCGCTGCTTGTAGTCAAGTGGCTCACGTAGCACCAGAGCCCCTACATACGTGTTCTCACTCTGTTCCACATCAATGATTCCGAACTTGGTGCAAGCGTCGGGGAACTGTTAATATAATCACATTAAAATCTCTTTTCTCACCTATCCTAGCTCTCAATTCTAACCTACCTGCGGTTGAGTAACACAGATGAGCTGAATGTCCTCGCCAATTAGATCCGGATCAGTGACTCTTATCCCGGGCAAGATGGTGGATCCAATTGGCGTGTCCTCGCTGACCACCGCCTCATAAGGAGTTCCGGAAAACTTTGGAGGGTTATCATTGACATCCAGAACCAGAACGTATGCTTCTATTCCTACGATATTCGGCTGTTGGCCCTCTAACACCCGATCCTCAAGGCTTACCAAGAACTTTATCGTATCGTTCTCCTAGAATGGATTGGGAGCTTAAATCCTACAAGCTAGTGAACAACAGGAGGGTCTAGCAAAATTGGATCAGGATTCGCTTGCGATTGTGTTCATAATTTGTCAGTCGAATAATTTCTTAGCGTCCTATCTCTGTTTCAGAATTTCTAGTCTCCTCTGGGTATCTTTAGACGCTATTTGTATTCACGGCTAACAATTACCTAGCCTGGCTCTTAGTTCAAATGAGATTACAGGGCGTCTTCTGCTACACAGCTATATCTTTCTTGGGTTTTCTTGCTCTATTCCAACTCTCTGTTTAGTTTTAGTGAATAGACACGAAAGAATGCCAAGGAATGTCGCTTGGGCTTTGTTTAATTAAATTAAAACGTCATATGAACAATAGAATACTTGAACCGAGATAAAGGACAAGGGTGGTAATGGCCCAAGATTTTAATTATCCCACTACTTCAATTAATATCCCTATTAATAGCACTCTCTTTTATCGAATTACCTTGCGCAGGAAATCCATTTTTGTCTCCTATGAGAATATTAAACTCGGGTACAACCCACTCGAATTTTAATGACTGTAATTTTGGTATCACGCAACCTGGAATCATTCCGGTTTGCAACAGATGTGTGTGTTATAAGAAAGGATCCACCGGAAGACAATGGAAAACAACGACAACAATGCCGGCGATGTATTGTGACATCATAAACTGGATCATGATATTGTATGAACCTTCCAGACACGGAGTAGAGGAAAAAAGAGGGTTCGATCTTTTATTTTAACTAGCTAAAAAAAGAAACGGCAAACTAGCAAACTCTATCGGCAGATCACTTTTTTTTTTTAGTTTCTTTGTAGTCGTGTTCATTTTTCTCGATTTCTCCATTCAATTTCACCCCAGCAAGTCTTTCATTTTATTTATTTTGTCTGTATGCACGAAATACCCCAGCCGATACTCGCCGGGTATTGGAAAACGTTTTGTTCGACATGGTCATCCTTCTATTGTCCAATTTTTTAACGTATATTTGTTAGTTTTCATTAAACGTTCTGTACACGAACAAAACGCTGATACCAAGTTAACGGTTGTAAAGTTTTTCAGTGTGAAATTGGAAATAGAAAATGTAGTGGGATTTAAATGACTCGGAGGAATCAATAGGGGAATATTATTTTCTAACTCACCTCACGATCTAATGGCTTCGCTAGAGTTATGATTCCGGTTGTTGGATCCACTGTGAATTTGTCAGTTGATTGGATTCCATATTTGACCTCCGAACCCTCGGGATCGTGACCCTTCAGTGTGAATACCTGGGTGCCTACTGCTGTTGCCTCGGACAGCGGGAGACCCAAGGGGTAACCATCCACGTCAAATATTGGTGGTTCATTCACGTTATTGCTCCCTGGAACATCAAAAGATGTGGTTGGTTATAATCATTTTCGGGTTGTAGATATGCCAACTATTTGTTTTATTGAATATTTTTAGCATGTTATAGTGTCGGGAATTTTGATCGGGGAAAAAGAAAAATGCCTGTTATTTTGATAGCAGATATTGCTTTGATGAAATTCCATCTATTTATTGGGCAATAGTAAAACTGTCCTCAATATGCCCGAAAAAGTTTAATACTAAATGTACAAGTATTAGGACTAATGAATCCTATTTAATATATCAGGAAAATTCAACTAATAACAAAAAGAGAAAAGGTTACTAGTATTGCCAAATATTTTTACTAGATTATTATAGTAAATTCAACAATATATTACTTAGTCCGATGTATGTTATTTATAAATTACCATGGTAGATATTAAATTTAAAAATGTCCCATAGTAAAGGTGTAAGAGAAAGCTAAGACTTATAACACAGTACTCGGTCCTATTAGTTTTGTCTATAAAACCGTTGTAGGTTAGTATATAGTATGTCCTCGAGCCAACAGACCGAAGTTAAAGCCAAATACTTACCGATCCTTTTTGGTTAAGTAGCATTTTAAATGGTTAGTAGCTGGATCGGTGACCCTCACCATTAAATATTATTTATAATCTAACTTTATAACAAAGTATTGTTGTAGCTTTACATTCTCGATCAAAAGACTCTCAATTATGTTGAGAAACACACAAAGTTAATAAAAGAACAAACAAAATCACCGTAATCAATAAACACATTCTATGATCTTGAAAAATTTTATCTTCCTCCAGATAAAATTTCGTTAAAACAAAAATAAATAAATTTTCATGTTAATGTATTGAAAAATTTTAGTAGCGCACGTGTTAATTTTCAGTTTGGACACTAATTAATTTTATCATGTTACATTTCTTTTGTTTGTAATATACCATAGCATACTTTTCAAAACTGAAATTATGGGTATATATAATTATAAATTCATCAGAAAAATATACTCCATCGGTAATATATACCACAATAAAAAAAGATTCTTATTGGAAGTAATAATTAATATAGAACTTTCCGCATTTAATATTCCTTCAATATCTAATTCTGCAACCAAGAAACTAGATACTTCTCAATTAAAAATGAAATATGATCTATAATTCAAACCAAATATCACTTTTAAAGACTCGAATTCGCGGAGATAGTTTCCAAGAATCGGAAGTAATGGTTCCGTGGCTCATGTTTCTTGAGAATCTCTAGACTCTTCTTCTAAGAGAAATATCCGCTAATTAGTTCTAGAATAAAACTAATCTAGTACTAAATCCTCTTGAAAACCCATCAAAAGTTCAGTTTTTAACTATGTTTACGTCCCAAAATTATTCGACCATGAATCTCATCGGAATTCTTATAAAAAAGTTGATGGAAGGATTGAATTGATAATACCCTACACAACAAACAATGTTTTGCACGCCTCTGAGGTAAACATCGTGAAAAATTCAATTATTTCGACAAACAAAAAAAGAGATATTGAAATATCAATTGAAAATATTCAGAATCCATCAAAAAGTTTCTATCACAATTTCTCGTTGGTAAAAAACATGAAAAATGAATAACGAAATAGAATGTATGCGCAAATAAACAGAACCGTAGGCGGCTTCGAATGGTGGGAAAAAAAAAAAGAAGAAAAAGTTTTACACATACCGATAAAACGTCAACATTGAAGCTTCAAAGTCGAGGAATTAGTAAATTAAAATAACCAATTCTAGCGTAAAAAATGTTGCGGCTAAGCTAACTGCCAGTAAAAATTTGTCTTTTGTCTAGATTCTACCTTCTACATTGCAGGTTGCGGGTTAGACTAAATTGCGCCGACAAGTTAAGTCACACAGAGACATATAAATGAACTAAATCACCTTGGCCTTTTAGCGAAAGTGAAAAACACCCTTGGCAGAAAATAAAAAATGTTTAAACTCCCATTTATATATATATATATATACTATTCCGTTACTTTTCTTTCCTACTTATGGAAGTAAAGCTCCGAAGCTTAGCGTTTACGTTTTTTTTACAGTTCTCGAGTGTTTTATACCAGCATGGGCTTCCATGTTCGCAGGCCAATCAGGGAAAAGGAGCTTTATCGCAGCAACCCAAGGCACCGATCGATCGAAAAGTAAACGAGAAAAGAGATTAGGAAACGGCTTCCACTGCATGGTCTGTACAAAAGGACCCGAGGACAAAATTATCGATCTAAGGCCTAGTCTGGTGATAAAAAATAATCTACTTTGTCTGCAGAGCTGTCATTCTGTCGTCTGAAGTAGAATTGCGCTTATAAGACAGTCTGCAAAAAAATTGAAGACAGTTTATACTCATTTTGATGGATTGCACTGGGAAAAAAATTGGATTCGTCTTTTTGATTGAGAAGCAGTGGACATATTTTGGAAGAATAAGGTCTCAGGTAATGTCCTGTGAAGTAGGAACGGTGAAAAAAAAATTTATCTGCTGGAAAAACGAGCCTAAACACCCAAAAACGCGATTTTTTTCATACCTAACAAAGAAAACTTTTTTCCTATGGCCAATTTACCCGCTTGAAATTTTTTTTTGTATTTTAGGAGCTATTTGTCAATTTTTTTTACTCTTATATCCAAGCCGTATCTGTCATGGTTCAAGAGATAAAAAATCGTGAAAATGACCTTCTGGAATTCGATATCTTTTTACGGCTTAAGAAAAATCTTACAAAGAATATTTATAATTTAAATACTCGAGATATTAAAAAATGACTATGGTATTTAATCGAGCAATGTTCTCAATAATTCAGCTCATATGAATAAAATAATCGAGATTCCAGGTGCACTAAGGATTCCTAGAGTGTTTTTGAGTCTCTAACTCCAATACTGAAACTTTTGAACAATCCAAAGCTGAAACAGCGAACATCAAAGCTAAAATTACTGAATAACGGGAAAAAAAAAGATGACTAACGGTTTTCCACAATTCTTTTGATGTATGTACCTGAAGTTCCGAACGTTCATTTATGAACGAAAATCAAAAAAAAATTTTTTTTGCTCCTGAAAGTGAAAATGGTTTTTCAGTTTCGAATAGAGACAGTGAGCCCTAAAAATGATATATTAGCTCCTCAAAACACAAAAACCACCCCTCCAGCCACCCCAAAAACTTACACTTGGAAAAAAAAATTTAAGATAAAATCCTTCCAAGGGCCCTTTGAAGCTGGCGATTTTTTATAAGACTCATACAATACCCCCACACAATATAAAAAATCACCAAAGCATTAGCTGCCCCGGAACTACCCCACCAGCCACCCCAAACACTTATGACATTAAAAAAAAAATTCTGAAAAAATCCTTCCGAGAGCCCTTTGAAGCTGGCGATTTTTTATAAGACTCATACAATACCCCCACACAATATAAAAAATCACCAAAGCATTAGCTGCCCCGGAACTACCCCACCAGCCACCCCAAACACTTATGACATTAAAAAAAAAATTCTGAAAAAATCCTTCCGAGAGCCCTTTGAAGCTGGCGATTTTTTATAAGACTCATACAATACCCCCACACAATATAAAAAATCACCAAAGCATTAGCTGCCCCGGAACTACCCCACCAGCCACCCCAAACACTTATGACATTAAAAAAAAAATTCTGAAAAAATCCTTCCGAGAGCCCTTTGAAGCTGGCGATTTTTTATAAGACTCATACAATACCCCCACACAATATAAAAAATCACCAAAGCATTAGCTGCCCCGGAACTACCCCACCAGCCACCCCAAACACTTATGACATTAAAAAAAAAATTCTGAAAAAATCCTTCCGAGAGCCCTTTGAAGCTGGCGATTTTTTATAAGACTCATACAATACCCCCACACAATATAAAAAATCACCAAAGCATTAGCTGCCCCGGAACTACCCCACCAGCCACCCCAAACACTTATGACATTAAAAAAAAAATTCTGAAAAAATCCTTCCGAGAGCCCTTTGAAGCTGGCGATTTTTTATAAGACTCATACAATACCCCCACACAATATAAAAAATCACCAAAGCATTAGCTGCCCCGGAACTACCCCTCCAACCACCCCAAACACTTATGACATTAAAAAAAAAATTCTGAAAAAATCCTTCCGAGAGCCCTTTGAAGCTGGCGATTTTTTATAAAACTCATACAATACCCCCACATAATATAAAAAATCATCAAGCCATTAGCTGCCCCGGAACTACATAGAATCGGAGTCCTACATAAAATCGCCAGCTTCAAAGGGCCATTGTAACGATTTTTTCTGAATTTTTATATAATAAGGGCAAAACTTTGGGGTGGCTGGAGGGGTAGTTCAGGGGCAGCTAATGCCTTGGTGATTTTTTATATGGTGTGGAGGTGTTGTGGGAGTCCTACAAAAAATAGCCAGCTTCAAAGGGCCCTCGGAAGGATTTTATCTTAAATTGTTTTTTCCAAGTGTAAGTTTTTGGGGTGGCCGGAGGGGTGGTTTTTGTGTTTTGAGGAGCTAATATATCATTTTTAGGGCTCACTGTCTCTATTCGAAACTGAAAAACCATTTTCAGTTTCAGGAGCAAAAAAAATTTTTTTTCGATTTTCGTTCATAAATGAACGTTCGGAACTTCAGGTACATAAACAAATGATTAGCTTACTAACTTGAAAAAAATTTAGAATTTTCATTTTTACATGTCCGCATGGGTATTGTTATTAAAAGTTATCAAAAGTTAACGAGAGTAAGGTTTAAAATTTTCGATCAGTTCATTTCTAATCATTATTATATACCAATCGAATCGATTTTACATACTCTACAAGCATCCTAAGCCAAACAAATATAAATAATGCTGTGAAGCGGGAAAGAATAGGAGTTACGGATAATTATTATGTGAAGCGTTCCAACATTCACGTAACAGGATAAATGGTAGGAAAGGATTGAGAAAGGATTGTGAAGAG